ACATGCCCTCATCTCTTGCCTAGAATTCTTTAATAGCCTTCTTATCACTCTACACTCCTATCCCCTAATCTTGCCAACACATAGCACCAAGACTAATCCTTTAAAAAAAAATAAACCGAATCATGTTACTCCCCTGTCAGATCATAAGGGGTCTTGTAGGACATAGTAAAAGATTTGAGTTTCATGGCAAAAACAGAAAAACATAAACCATAACATGGTGTGGCCAATTACCAAAGAGTCAAATAATTTTCCTAAATCTTAGTGAGTCATTAGGTGAACTACAGTAGTACAAAATAATGCTAAGTATTCAAAATTAATGGCATTATACAAAATAACTAAAGTGTCCTGGCCGGACAGCTCAGTTGTTTAGATAAGTGTCCTGAAATGCCAAGGTTGCGAGTTTCATCCCCAGTCAAAAAACATGTTAGAATCAGGGGAACTTCTGGTCAAGATGGAAGCACAGGCAAACATGGATCGCCTCCCCACACAACCACATCAAAATTACAACTAAAACATAGAACAACTGTCACTCAGAACCATCAGAAATCATGTTGAATAGAAGTCGGACAACTACAAAATTAAAGAAACCACATCCATTCAGGCTGGTAGGAGAGGCGGAGACGTGGAACAGGCTGGCCCCATATAAACGTGTGGTGGATAAAAATTCCGGAGGGATATCTTGGGAATGAGGAGTACCAGCCCCACACCAGGCCCCCTAAGGCCCAGGGTTCCAGTACCAGGAAGATAAATCCTCATAACTTCTAGCTGCAAAAACCAGTAGGGATTGAGTTGGTGGAAGAAACTTCTAGAGTCCCAGGCAGTTCCTCCTAAAGAACCCACACATGGACTTACTCAGGCTCACTCTCTCTGAGCTCCAGCACTGGGGTAGCAACTTGAAAGGCACCAGTGGCATACATGGAGGAACTGAAGTATCTGGCATCAAAGCAAAAGCTAGGGAACAGCTTTCTCCCAGAGAGAAAGGCAGGCAGAGACCAATGTCCCTTTTCTGAACCTTCTTATCACGAAGCCACAGAGCTGGTAGGCTGGTCCATATTTGAGACTCCATCAACCTGGCTAACACTGTTTTCTCTGCTCTGGAGGTCCCCAGAGATGCTTTCCCACTCAACTTATGGGCCTCCTAAGCTGCTTTCCCATATGAGTGGCTAGCCTGGGCTCATGCTTCACAACTTCCTAAATCCTCTCAAACAAGCAACAGCCAGCCTCAGTTAGCCCCTAGTCCCTGCACCTCTTGCTAAGTGGCCCAGCACTTGCAGCAACCACTCTAAATTCACAGCTTGGCTTTGCCTGGGAATCTCCAAGCCCAGCACAAGTAGCAGCCATCTCAGATTGCTTTACAGCTCTGGCACAGTGGTCTGGGGCAAAACATACGTGGGAGCTGATGACCTTGGCCTGCACACCCAGGAAATCCAAGGGCCTGTGCACACAGTGAACAGCTACAGACCATGTCAAAACACCACCACCTTGCCCCTGCACAGCTGATCATCCACGGAGGGCAGAGGTTGGTGGTCAGTGGTCGTAGAAGTCCTTGCAGGTGACTGGCTTGAGTAAATCCCTCCCATTGACCTGCCAACAGCAGTCAAGGTTCAACTACAAGAGGAGGGTGTTCTCATCCCACACAAAGAACGAACCTTGAGTACCCAGCTTGGGTGATATGGGAGGCTATACCACTAGACCATACAGGACACCTACTGCATTAGGCCATGCTACCAAAACAGGGAGTCATAGCAGCCCTACCTAATACATAAAAACAAACAGGGAGGCTGCCAAAATAAGGAGACAAAGAAACACGGACCAAATGAAAGAACAGACCAAACTCCAGAAAAAGAACTAAACAAATGGAGATAAGCAATCTATCAAATGCAGAGTTCCAAACACTGGCTATAAAGTTGCTCAAGGAACTTAGTGAGGACCTTAACAGCATAAAAAAGATCCAGTCAGAAACAAAGGATACATTAATTGAAGTAAAGAACAATTTACAGGGAAACAACAGTAGAGTGGATGAAGCTGAGAATCAAATCAATGATTTTGAACATAAGGAAGCAAAAAACAATCAGAACAAAAGAAAAAAGAATCCCTCCCCCCCCAAAAAAAGAGGATAGTGTAAGCAGGCTCTGGGACATGTGTTCCAGCATTTGCATCATGGGGGTGCTAGGAAAAAAAAAGAGAGCAAGAAACTGGAAGTCTCTATGAAAAAACAATGAAAGAAAACTTTCCTCATCTAGCAGCTAAGGAAACAGACATGCAAGTCTAGGAAGCACAGATGTGTGTCCCAAACACGATGGATGCAAAGAGGCCCACTCCAAGACACATCATAATTAAAATGTCAATGGTTAAAGATAAAGAGAGAATCTTAAAAGCAGCAAAACAAACTCAGTTAATTACCTACAAGGGAATTTCCATAAGACTGTCAGCTGATTTCTCAAAAGAAACTTTGCAGGCTAGAAGGGATTGGCAAGAAATATTCCAAGTCATGAAAAGCAAGGACCTACAGCCAACATTGCTCTATCCAGCAAAGATATCATTTAGAATTGAAGGGCAGATAAAGAGCTTCCCAGGCAAGAAAAAACTAAAGGAGTTCATCATTACTACAAAAAGAAGATCAAAACTATGAACAATAAAATGGCAATAAATACATATCTATCAACAACTCAATCTAAAAAACAAACTAAGCAAACAAGAAGAACAGAGACATTAAGCATGGATACAGAAAGCATTCTGATGGTTGCCAGATGGGAGAGGGATATGGGGGAATGGATGAGGGGATTAAGAAGCATAAATAGGTAGTTACAGAATAGCCATGGGGATATAAAGTACAGTATAGGAAATGGAGTAGCCGAAGAAGCTATATGTGTGATCCATTGACATAAACAATGGTGCGGCGATTGCCTGCAGGAGCTGGGGGATGCTGGGTGGAGGGGAGCAAAAGGGGAAAGATTGGGGGGAACAACTGTAATAGCATAATGAATAAAATATAATTAACAAAGAAAAAATACAAGAATCAACTAATGAATGTGTAAGTGGAACAACAACAAAAAAAAATCAATGTTTCTCTTTCTCCCTTTCTCTCTCTCCAAAAAAACCAATCAATAAAAAAAAATTTTTTAAACCCTTAAGTAGCCCTGGCTGGTGTGGCTGAGAGGGTTGAGTGCTGGCCTGAGAACTGAAAGGTCGCAGGTTCGATTCACAGTAGGGCACATGCCTGAGTGTTGGGCCAGGTCCCCAGTAAGGTGTGCGTGAGAAGCAACCACACATGGATGTTTTTCTTCCTTTCTCCGTCCCTTCCCCTCTCTCTAAAAAAATAAACTATTAAAAAAATAAAATAAAACCCTAAAGTATGTCTTAGTATACTCAACATATAATAATGGTAAAGAACATAACCTACTTAAAAATGTTTCTCTTTAAAATAGCTTAATTTTGCTGAAATTTGAGGGATATTCAAGGTATCACTCAATATATTCAGGATACATTCTCTAATGGCCCTGGGTAGTCAAGGGGTTAATTGCTATTATTTAAACTACTCAACCAGCATGTCCATATGAATTGCTTCCATGAAAAAAAATCCATTCCAAGTTCAATTCAGTTATTTTTTTCCTTAGTATCGCCAATGTGTAAGGTACAACATAAAGATTTACAGGATATAGTCCCCGCTTATGAGGATCTTGCAATATAGTGGAGGACTTAGACATACCAACACTAAGGAATGCCAGGAACATTTTTCTTTTCCAGCACTAGAGCACAGATTATTTTCTACCCTGAAGGAGAGATCAGGCTAGTTACGGGCTAGCTACACCGTAGTAGCAGCTAAGAGCAAGAAGTAGATGCCTCCGAACACAGTAGCTTGTTATCTTCTTACAAATGCAAAAGAGAATATTCTTTCTTTCTCAGTCACGATATTCCACATAAGTAAACAAAGAATGTTTTAATTAAGTGCCCAAATAATGAGCACTAAAAATAAGTCCCCTGGTGCCTATTTCTCGCTAGGTGATTCCTGAGTCAGATGTACGTAAGTCGGGAGCTGTGTGTTTTATGTTATGGGTGATCCTAAATGTGGTTTCTACATATTAAGAGTAAGAATGGTGCCCTGGCTGCTCAATTGGTTAGTGTCATCCCAACAAACTAAGATTGCAGGTTCGAGCCACAGTCAGAGGAAGCACAAGAATCAACCAATGAATGCATAAATAAATGGAACAAATTAATGTTTCTCCTCTCTAAAATCAATAAATATTTTTTAAAGTGTTATGTTGGCTTTCTCTCTCAAGTCTATAAACAAAATTTTTTTTTAAAGAACAGTAAAATCCTAAGTGTAATATAAGAAAATAAAGGGTTTCAAATAACTTCCCTTTTTATCTTTAAAATAAAGGGTTGTTGTGCCCTGGCTAGTGTGGCTCAGTGGACTGAGCGCCGGCCTGAGAAACAAAAGGTCATCGGCTTGATTCCCGGTCGGGGCACATGGCTGGGTTGCAGGCCTGGTCCCCCGTTGGGGCCATGTGAGAGGCAGCTGATCCATGTTTCTCTCACACGTCAGTGTTTCTTTCCCTCCTTTTCTCCCTCCTTTCCCCTCTCTCTAAAAATAAATAAATAAAATTAAAATAAAGGGTCATTACTCTTCAGCACCTCAGTATATATAATATTTGTTGCAAATATAAGTGGGGGCAAAGGATGGATTAGAATCAGTTTTCAAAAAAATTAGTACTACAGTAAAATAAAATACACTACACCTCTTTCACATTACATACAAGAACAGGGCAAAGGGAAAATGAGTAAACAAAACCATATACAGCTACAAACTGTGTAGGAGAAAACTGTTTTTAAATTAAACATTCAAAATCTTGATTTATATCTAGAAAATTCAAAGTAAGATTGTTTAACAAAAAAATAAAATTATAAATTCAGATAATCCAGATCCTATGTAAGTCTGTAAACTTTTAAATGGACAAATGATATACACATACAAACATAAAATGAGCATTCACACTTACCGTAATAGGAGTTCCTTGGGAAGTTTTTTATTGATTACGGCTTCATCACTATTTGAGAACATCTGCAAAAATAAAATATTTTGTTGTTACTTAACCTTTTATTATTTCAACTCAACAGTTTAGAGGTAATCCTCTTAGGAGAGAGGTGAATAAGTATAAAGTGTATTATAAGCCGAAGTCATATTTTCAGAGACTCAGGCTGAAAAACATCTTTGAGATATTTAATTTGTTCCCTATCTTTAGGGAAAATGAACTTACAGCAGTCAGAAGACTGACACTATGTGCCAGGTACTGTTTTAAGTGTTCTTCATGTATCAACATTTTGAATCTTCATTTTACATATAAGGAAACTGAATTACAAGATTTACTTGCTTAAAACCATATCACTACTAAGTTTAAAAATGTCATTTTTAATACCCGGCCTGGTAGCTCAGTTGGTTAGAGCATCTTCCCGATAGGCCAAGGTTGCAGGTTTGATCCCTGGTTAGGACACATACAAGAATCAACCAAAAAATACATAAATAAGTAGAACAACAGATCAATGTTTCTTTCTCTCTCAAGTCAATAAATAAAATTTAAAATAAAATAAAAAAGGAGCATTTGAGATCTTGCTCCCTGGCATATATCACCAGTTTGGCTTAAATAAACTCTTAAAGAATTCAAAAAAACTAAAAATAAGTATGACACAAATGTCATTAACTCACATTTACTTTTTCAAGGGGGCGCTCAGAAACCTGGGATAGGGAACAATATCTTTTGAGTTTTATATATCATATAGCAAACCAATAATACTTCATAACCACAACCAGATGCACACAAGTGCTCATTTAGCAAAATTAATTAAAACCACTTCTTCCGCAAAGGAGATCATGACTATAAGCTTGTTTAGTAAGTTGGTTAAAAAAAAAAAAGCTATACTAACTGTACCCAATAAAAAGTACAGTAAAAAAGGCAAATACACATCATTAAGTAATACGCGATGCTTCGACTTCATGCAATGAACATTTACTGAACACCTTGTCAATATCAGACACTGCTCTAGGTAATGAGATAAAAACAAAAGAAGACATTATCTCTGTACTTAAGGAGCTCTTGCCGTACAAAGAACACAGAAATTAGGCAAATATTTTATTACTTATTAGCAAAAAATGACAAGAGGTGTGTGAGAGCAAAGGATGAAACAATTCTACCCACAAATGATATCTAAATTGGATCTTAGAGGAAGACCAGATAGTAACTAGAAAAAACCAAGGAGGTAAGATGTATAAAGGCATGGAGTCATATAAAAGTCCTGGCATTTCATGATTCAAAGTAGGAGTACAAAAAAAAAAAAAAAAAAAAAAAAAAATTAGTAGGACTGTATTTTGCTGTGTATAATGCACATTTTTTTGCCCAAATTTTTGAGAGAAAAATAAGGATGTGCATTATACATGGGTAGTACCTGAAATACTCTTTATCTGTTCTTGTGTTTTGTAATTATTTGTTACATAAAATTTCTTGTACTAATATGTTCAAAAATAAGTGCTAAAATTACTTTATATTACAAAAAAGTATCTAATACAAATAAATAAAAATTGATTTAAAAAATTAAAACGAAAGATTTTTTTCCTGAAAGTTTGGGCCAAAAATGTGGGTATGCATTATACATGGCAAAATATGGTAACTGAAGGGATGTTGAAGTGGGAGGGAAGTAGTGGACAGAATGTATTTTCCCTTCAATCTCAGACATCTAAAGAGTAATGATAATAAATATTTTCTATCAACTATAATAACCTACCTTCCAGATAAATGGAAAGACCTGTGAGGGCAGGGACCATATCTTTCATGCTTGCCATCCTAATTCCAGGATTGAGCACAGAGACTGATACATAATAGGAACTCAATAAATCTAATGAATAATGAATGAACTGTTAAGTGGATGGTAGGGTTAGGTCATGAAGGAAACTTGCACACCAGGTTAGAAATTTGAAACAATTCTGTAGAGAAGAGAAACCTAAAGAAATTAAACTCTGGACTAGGAGCAAGGAGGTAAGCTAAGAATATAATGAAATTATAGCTCAATTAAATATGATGCAGGTCTTTATAAGACTACAGGCGCAGTAGACATTTTTTAAAAAACTGAAGAAAGGGTTTTTATTTTGTCAGCTACACACATGTCTACACCTGTTTTTCTGTGGATGTTATCTGCTTGGAGGATCATTTTCTACCCTTTGACCCTATCTTTGACTTTGTAGCTTTGATGTGTCTCTTTAAGGCAGCATATAGTTGGGTTTGGTTTTCTGATCCAACCTGCTACTCTGTGCCTTTTAATTGATGAATTCACTCCATTTACACTTAGGGTAATTATTGATGTATGAGGATTTCCTATAGCCATTTTATCTTGTTTTCTGGTAGCTCTGTTCCTCCACTGGTTCTTTTCCTTTGTGTTTGTTGTTTTTATTTTGTGTTAGTCCACACTTTTTTCATGTTTCCTCTCTTTTTAAGTTATGTGACTCAGTTTTGGGTTTTCTGTGTGTGGTTACCATTAAATCTACAAAGAAGGCAGTTTCATATATACAGTCATCCTTTTTCTTTTGAATGTATCTGATCTCCATCCTTTACAAATTCAGACCTTTACCCTGTCCCCTTTTATGTCTTTGTTGTCACAAATTAACCCTGTTTATTCCCTAAGTTTGTTGGTGATCTTACTGGCAGTTTTGTGACCTTTTTGTTCTTTGTTTCAGGTAGAATAACTCCCTTGAATATTTTCTACAGTGTAGATCTTCTGGTGATAAATTCCCTCAGCTTCTCTATGTCTAGAAGAGTCTTTATCTCTCCTTCATATCTAAAGGATAAATTTGCTGGATATATTATTCTTAACTGGTGATTTCTCTTTCAGTAGTTTGATTATTTGGTTCCACTCTCTTCTAGCTTGTAGAGTTTCTGCTGAGAAGTCCAATGATAACCTAATGGGATTATTTTATTTTTATTATTTTATTTCTTTATCCTCACCCAAGGACATTTTTTCAATGTTTAGAGAGAAAGGAAAGGACAGAGTAAGAGAGACATTGATGTGAGAGAGACAGAGACAGACAGACAGAAAGACACACAGAGAGAGAAGCATTGATTGGCTGCCTCCCATATGCACCCAGACCCGGGACTATTCACATTCAGACCAGGGACCAAGCCCGCAACAGTTCAGTTACAGGATGACAGTTCCAACCAACTGAGCCACACTGGCCAGGGAATGGGCTTTCCTTTATAGGTTACTTCCTTCTTTTTCCTGGCTAAGGACTTGGTAACAGAAGGTGGTTCAACTACCAAGTTTCAGCGCAGCAAACAGACTATCTTATAATAAAAGTAATGTTACTACCTGACAATCTGATCAGAGAATAATCTGCTTCCCAACAGTACCTACCCTATGGTGGAAGCTATTAAAAGAATCATATCCCTCTTCTATGACTCTAGATATAAAAATAAACAAATCTCACACACAGCTGCAGATGTTTTCCCTTGCTTCATTCTACACAGACTGAATACTGTTGTCTCTGTGGGAGTATGAAGGTATGTGAAGGAAAAAAAGAATATATAGTATCCGGGGAACACCAGACATATAGGAACATCTGTCCAGGGTTATATTTCCCTTATCCTTCTGCATATATGTACCCTACTCCAAGTTAGATAAGATCAGTGGTTCACATTGTGGTCACCTGACCATCAGCATCAGTTTCAAGGGGGCCCTTGTTAGAAGTGCAAATTCTTGAGCTGTACACCAGACCTATAGAATCAGCAACTGGGATTGGGGTGGAGGTGAAGGGGAAGACAGACAACCAGTATTTTAACAAGCCCTCCAGCTGATACTGCTTCCTAAAAGTTTGAGAACCAGTGGACTAAAGTAAACTGAGGATCTCAGAACCCACAGATTTTACAGTTCTCACAGATAATCAGAATATTTTTATTATCTGAAGTGTCATAGCAATGGAGGTTAGAAAATAATCCTAAAAAAGAAAGAAAAAAACAATTCCAGAGGTAGATACACAATAATTTCAGATGTTTTCTAGGAAACCCAAATGGTTTCTTCTTCAGTTGATGATATTGTTTGTAAAATGTTTCACAGAAGCAATCAAATATATGTTTTAGAGATTTTACTATTTCAGCTGAATCCAAACTCTAGCTTTCTCATGCAAAACACAAAGGGTGTCAAAACAAATTAGATTAAGGGTATAGTGAATTACAAAAAGTTTGTGAAGGATTTAAGCTATAATCCATGTAGAGGAAGTGACTGTTCAAACATGTGACATTCTTAGGGAATCTGGTTTTATGTTAGCTCGAGGATATTATTATGTATTTTTATAATCTATTCACAAACAATTACAAGGATGTAGTCAGAGGAAAAAATGTGAGAGCAACTAGATTGTTCTCTCCTTATTATTTGTTTCTAGGTAGGACATTATCCCCTAAGAAAGCAAAGACACATAGCTACAGTTTTGTCTTCGAGGGAAAGGACATTCTTAAATTAAAAAAAGAAATAAAAAACACTTTAAGCGATTTGGTTTGCCATACATTAGCACTTATTATTGCTTTGCATACTACTATCATTGTTTTTCTATAATTACATAGCTGAAAATACAACTTTTAAAACACTTGTTACAAATTTTAATTACATCATCTAATAAAGCTCCTGAATAGTACTTTCTGCTATTAGTTTAGCCTTCTGATCAGTTTTTAAATCTTACTTTGGCACATTTTGGGAATTTCTTTACTAACATAATAAATTTAAATGCTTAGCAAACGAACAAGACCCAGAAGCTTTAAATCCAGGATCTGGGTGAGAAATGACATGAACAGAGAAAAGAAATACTTGCTCAACAGTGACCCCTGCTGATAATTTAATTAATTTAATAGTATAGTTACCAACTCTGCTCCCCTCCCAAAAAACATTTAAAAGATGTGGTATATATTATTCAAGCTTTATAGAAGAAATACAAAAGTTAATTAGTATTTTGGCAGAGAATACTAGTTATCCCCCAATATCTATTCTCCTCTTCTAGAGTAACAGCATCCACAAGTTTTGACTAGAACA